AAAACTGCATTGGTACATTAATTTGGAAAGTGATAATTTCACAAAGTCTCCCGCCCCTGCTTAAATTGTGTGATAGCAAACAAATCTATTCAGGACATTCTACTCAAATTTTATATAATCAGGGAAGTAATGCATACTAGTTAGGAAATGGGCAACATTTAGCCTGGGACTTAAAGAATGGCTAGTTCTAGTCCTTTGTTAGTCTCTAGACTCTAGCTTATATCTTCCACTTACATGAAATCTTACTACACCGCATCTTCTCTCACCGGAGGGTGCTACTATGGAAATTTGTGGGAGACTGAGGTTGGTGCCATATAGCCTGTGCATCAGTTACCTACTGTGTTAATCTAGGCAAGCAGGCTGACCTTAGCAAGCCTACACCCCTTCTTTTATAAACAGGGTGATAAAAGGAAAAAAACACTTTGGTTGTAACTGGGTATTTTGAGGATTAGAGAGAACACGCTTGTAGAGATGCTCCCCACCTGCCTTGCACATCCTGTTTGCTTAATTGCTTATTTCATTGCTGCAGACATTTTCTGCTATACAATTATCCCCTGGTTCATTTGCATTCTGACTTATAGTGTTTTCCTGAAGTTAGTAGATGTTCAATTAAATGTTTAACCCGGAGAGAGTAAAGCTGTGATAAAGAAAGGGAAAATTGGTAGTGAGATGTGAGTTGGAAGCATCCACTGTTTACTTCATAAAGGAAATAGAAGGGCACTGTTGACTAGTGGTAGCAAAGTGCTCAACCTCAGTGAGAGAGGCTTGGAGAGTGCCATTGGTAGGGACTGAAAGGCTTTGGGCTAGTAGAGTGGTTTGTTTATACTGGAGAGTAACAGGAATTCAGGAAGCTACCATACCAAATTAAATTGGAAGGGTGTTGATAGAGGGTATTGATGGGTTTCAACCATCTGCTGGAGGACAGAGACATGGTTGTAGGTCACATTTGAAAGTTATTTGTGTGGACATGACCTACAGTTCTATGCAAACTTCAAGCTCAGAAATTAACTAGCAAAGAAATCCCTATTTCCTCTATCTTTTATCATTCACTAGAAACTATATTTGGCCAAAATGTAAATGGATACAAGCAGCCCAGTCAGCTAACCAGCTCTATAAAATGGCACTTCCTAGAGGGTTGGCTCTTGAGAACTGTGATTCTGTGTGCGTGGAGGTTCACAGAGACACATGGACAATGATGACCAGGCTTAGGAGCACTGGCTGCTCTTGGAGAGGACTGGAGCCCCAGCACCCACATTAAGCTGCCCGGTCTTGAGGGGCTCTGACACCATCTTCTGGCCTCTGGACCCACACATGTAGCATATGCACACATTCACATTGTTCTTTTTTTTCCCACATTGTTCTTAATTAAATAATTACAAAATGATAACCACCAGGTGGAGAAACTTTTAGACAGAGAGTTGAATAAGGGATTGGATTGCATAATTGGTTGAGGTGTGAAAAGAATTTAAACAAAAAAGAAATGCCAAAAAAGGACATTTTAGCATTCCGCCAACCGACCCAGGAACTAGGTGACCTGTTGTGCACAGATAACAAGAGTTTTCAGGAACTGAGGTAAGTATCCTGGAAACAATAGGGGAGGGTTTTTGTCTCTCCTGGGGTTTCTTTGTGGCCAAACAGTTTCTTGGAACTAAGTATCCTAGAGGCTAGAGGGTCTGGAGTTTGTGTCCAGTTTTGGCCCTAGGCCTGTTGTATACAACACAGTCTCCAGGAACTAAGTCTCCTGGAGGCTAGGGGTAAGGGTTTGGTCTGGAGTTTTGGCCCTTCAGGTCTAGAATTCATGAGTTTCCATGAGCTTGTTTCAGTTGTCTTTGTGGATTTCCCCATCAGGATTTTGACCTCCCTTGCTCATATATTCCCTCCTCCCTCTGACTGGACTCCATGATCTCAGCATCTAGTTCCATCAATTACTAGATGTGGGCTCTATGATGATAGTTAGGGTATTCACCAATCTGATTACAGGGGTAGGCCTGTTTGGGCATTCTCTTCACTATTGCTAGGAGTCGTAGCTGTGGTCCTCCTTGTGGATTCTTGGGAATTACCCTAGCACCAGGTTTTTCCCTACCCCCATCGTGGCTCTCTTTTTCATTGTTCTTCCACTGTATCCCCCCCCTCCTCAACCATTCCACGTCCTTACCCCCACCCCAATTTATCCCTTAAATCTCATCTAATTTCTATTCCCAAGACCATCCATGTGTCCCTTAGGGCCCTCCTCGTTACCTAGCTTCTCTGGAGCAATGGATTGTAGTCTGGTTATCCTTTGCTTTACATCTAATATCCACTTATGACTGAATTCATACAGTGTTTGTCTTTCTGAGACTGGGTTACCTCACTCAGGATGGTTTTGTTCTACTTCCATCCATTTTTTTTTTTTAAACTGGAAATTTGAGACAGGGTTTCTCTGTGTAGTTCTGACTGTCCTGGAACTCGATCTGTTAGACCAGGCTG